TGTCTATAAGCTCCTGACAGTTCTGTTTTTGACACGGTAACTGCAGTTTCCCTTTGGGTAATTTCTGTCTAAACGTAACTATTGCTAATGTTAGCATAACGTTTGTTCTCTAGCTAGCTGTTGGTGACAAAGTCTTTTGCTTTAAGAAATAACAGTGCATTTCAAAAACGTAAATCAGCACTAGGACCATGCAGAGTAAAGAGTCAGTCCAGCCTGTCATTTCTCATACTAATATTTCAGTTAAAATCTTCAGTTTAAATGTGTTTCCCTCTGCATGGTTTAGGACTTAATGCTGGTTATGGGGAGTTTATGTGACTGAAACGTTCTTAACCCAGCGCTTCAGTAGCTACTGCACTGCTGCAGCCCCCGCGCGGTCACACTTTCAAATTCAAAATTTAACGGAAACTCAACGGATCATCAGCGAATCCAACCGTTCAATGGATATTTGAACTGCTGTAAGTGAAAAACATTATTTTTTAGTGATTTGGCTGTGTTGTTCTTGTTGTTACTGTCGGATACTTCTTATTATTGACTTGAATCTTAGCGAGCTATGTAGAAGTCGAGTTAATTTAATAACGTCAACTTCAGTTGGCTTCGTGGGCAGTTTAGCCGTTTAAATAACGTAATAGTTGTTTTTCTTTAGGTGTACGTAGTGAGCTCACTTTGTAACAGCTAGCTAGCTAGCTAACCTAAGCTAGCTAATTTAGCGAACGTTAGTTTACTAATGCTAAGCTAGCAGTTTACTTGTGGGCCTAGAAAATATTATTAATCAAATGCATTGCAGATACTGTTCACCAGCTGCTGCTCAGCTTCTCTAGCTACATTCCTGTCTGTCAACTACACTAAGTTTAATTTAGTTTATCAGTCCATTATTACAGCCATATGCAGGACAGGCTCAGCATCTTATTTAATCGCCGAGCACTGGAAGGCTTTGGGTTAAGTGTAGGCGACTCGCTACAGCGGTAGTAGACCGGCAGTTAAAAAAAGAAGCCTCTTGGATGTAACTTACGGTCAGCGCAGCTCCTTATTTATAGTAGAATCAATGTTTTTGTTTGTTTAAACAAGGAAACATTCATTTGTACGGTATGTGTAAGGCATGTTTCCATGCAAAGGACCTGTGTGGTGTAAGCAAAACGTTTAATTTCGCTGCCCAGCCGCCCACAGATCGTGAAAGCATGAGCGGCAGTAAGTCCTGAAGTAGCGTAGACATGCAGCAGGATTGTCAATTAATACTTTTTACTCCGTCCTCGACTTCAGCACGTTTCAAAACAAAGTAATAGCCGTATATGCTTGCTTAAAGTTTTCTGGAGATCTCCACTCCAATTTACTTTACCTGGCTTTATCAGGCCACGTGTTTATAAGCAGTGAGAACCACAGTTTTGTAGGAATTCGTAATGAATACGTATGTTAGGGTGTAACGATACACCTGACCCACGAATTGATTCGATTCTTGACACTGGGTCCACAATTTGATATATTCTGATGATGTTTTGACAAAAATTCGAATGAAGAAAAATAACGACTGTCTGCATTGTTGCACAGCTTCCTCATGAACATGTTGGTTGGGATGTTTTATGTTTGCAAACACAATTTCATATGATGCCATAATTATTAGAATGCCCATTCTCCATAATGCATTTTCACATCTCTACGATGCACATTTTTTGCCTCACAATATCACAGTGCATTGTTACATCCCTGCTTTGTTTGGGGTTTGTATAGATCTTCTCATCTCTGCCTGCGGTTCACAGTATATGAATTAAATCAATACGTTCTAACCAAGATTGTGCTCTGTAGTATGTAGTATCTGTGTGTTCCATTCTGTTTATATTTGGTTAACTTGCCGCCTGGTGTTTTTGTGTGGGTGATATGTTGGTATTTTGGAGTTAAGCTGATAAATTTATTTATTATTCATTATTTGCATTGGTGTGTGTTTATTTTTAGAATTAGTGATTGTGACTATCAGCCCATAATTTTCATATTGGTCAGTGCTTTTATAGTTTAGTATTTGTTTATTATTTGGAAACACTCATATGGTGTGACCTACTGCATGTGGAATATAATGCAAGCATGTTTTATTTGGTGTGAGTCTTCTTGTTCTGTTTAATGGACCACTTGAATCAATAACACAGCTGTCAGGCAAAGTGCCTGATGTAGGCAGATGGTGGTTTTGTTCTAGTCCTAGGGTACCTCTTTGGACCTCACTTGTGATCCAGAAATCTTGGAGTGTGTTTAAGAAGCTTTTGTGTTAATGTTTGTGTGAGTAAATTGGTATGCAGTTTTTAAGGAAGCAATGGTGACTGTGGGAGAATAATGCGTCACTAAAGGTGATGTACGCATTATCTTGCAGTATAGCCTATTGGTCCTAAGTCTTTAATTTGTTTGAAATTACACATAATTGGGCATTAATAAAAGCCCTTCAGCATTACGTTTAGTTAAATATGAATGGTCGTAGATTTTAGGAAGCAGACAGGTGTCAAAAAATCGTTATTCATTAGAAATCATTTGACGTCATATGATGTACATGTTAAATAATTCATGGTTGCTCGTGTGACACAGTGGTGTGCATTAAACTAACCTCACCAGCTGTTCAACCTTTTTGTTACTGCAAATTATCATCTTAAATTACATTTGAAATGGCATTAAAAGTCTTTAAGTATTACATTAAACTTTAAGATGCCCCTGTGAATGTAATGATGAGTGATTCTTGTGCCTGTTTTTAAATTTTTGAAGTTAATTTTATACACTTAGAATCTGCAGTAGAACATACTGGACTCATGTTGAGCAAAATTATTTGTCTGTCCTGTGTCATTCTCAGATGTCTAAAGCATACATAAGACTCTCCAGGTATGCATTCTTTAGAATTTTTGAAGGTGTCAAATCATATTGGCAGGATCGCTGCAGCATCAAACAGAAGATTTATCTCTGCTTTTTATAGCCTAGATGTCTGATAGTATTAAAAGCTATATTGTGACATGAGAGATGTATTTTTACTGTTCTGCTGGGGCAGTTTTTTTCTTTCACACTAGTAATTGGGATATCACATGGGGACTTTTTTTCTGTGTTAGTCTGAATGGACAGATCACATTCATTTGCTTTGAAGAGTTGAGTACTTTGGACGATGTGTGTGTATATGTTAATTGTACACACTGCGGGCTATATCCCAGCAACTGTTCAGTCTGAAGTCTTGGAAAGAAGTTTGAAGTGTCACTGTCATAAGAAAGCTCTTAACTCCATTTTGCCCCCTTTTTATGAAGTTTTAAAAAGCTAGCTGACAGTTCTCTAAACATGTTTTTGACGAATAGACAAATGAGAAATTAATTTTTTTTTTGCGATAGTGGACTATAAAAAAACATTTCCACCTTTTTATGTGAACATACTGTTTCAGAGATACAAAATTTTTCTTAAAATAGCTACAGACAGCTACTTTTTGTTGGTGGGAAGCCGGGGCTTGGTCCGGTTTTTGGAAAACTTTAGAGGTGGGATGAAGGCTTGTTCTCCCTGTGATTTTGAAAAGCACGTTGACATGCTCCGTCCCACACAACGGAATACGCAGAAGCTGCAGGTGGAACACCAGTACCATTTGTGTCTCTGCTCTTTCTTAAACTACAGTCCATATTTAGTGTATACCCAATTTTAACTCTCTCTCTCTCTCCCTCCCTAATAACAAGGTTCAGTGCTCATGTCCTTATATAGCCCTGTGCACTCTGCAGGGTGCGTGTATGTGTGTGAGAGAGTGTATCAAGGACTTGCATGGGCACCCATGGGAGCTGTGTTGTCTTATTTTCTACTACTCTATCCCTCTTTCCCCATATTTACTGCTCGGTGTCTAGTTTTCCCTCGCTCCTGGAAATAGTTTACTGGATCAGGTCAGAGTCTTGCACTGAGTAAAGCAACGACTTTTGTGCTATTTATAGGACACGGTTAGCCGGAGCTGCGCGGGACTGCCGCTACCACCGCTCTGAACATGAGTTTATGTTTTGGAGTTGGTTGCTATGGGAACAGTTCTAGACTTTTCTGGCTGTCAGGGAGTAGGAGTTTAACTTACTGAGGAATCTTGAAACAGGAGGTATTGAATCTTTTTAAAGACAGTTCAGTTCAGACGGTACATTTGACACACTCTCTCAAACACACACACACGCTCACAGGTGTGTGTGCACATACATCCAAGCACATTCTTCATTGTATGTTCTCAGTGTGCATTCTGAGTGAGCACTGCTCACACAAAACTGTAGAGGGTACTCTGTGTTTGAACATTTTATACATTCATTTCAAAAGAAGACACCTGCTCATTGAATGTTACTTCTGAAACTAAGGATGTTAATGATTTTGTCTACCCTTTACTGCAACAACAGCCTCTACTTGTCTGGAAAGGCTTTAGCTCGATGTTGGAACATTCTGTAAGAATTTGATTGCGTTCAGCTGCAAGAGCATTAGTGAGGTCAGGTGCTGATGCTGGTTGATTAGTTCTGGATTATGGCATTACGGTGTTTTATGGCATTACAGTGTTTTATGGCACTTCATCACTGCAAGAAACACAGTTTCACCCTTTCACAGCCCTGATGCTTGGGCATTTTATACCCCTCTAACCAGTGCTTGTCATTGGGCATGGTGTGGCTGTTCCAGAGCACTGCATTCTTTTAGCAGTGCTTTTCTTTTTGCTAGCTGTGTGTGAGAATTGAATGCCTTTGTCAGCAGAGGGGCACCTTGAAGTAGTTGAATTCACTCATTAGAAGGGCTGTCTGGATACTTTTGAGTATATAACATATTTACTTGGTATGTATGCATATGAAATACAACACTTCTTTTATGCCTATGTTTTCTGTGTTTGTGCGTGACTTAAATGAGATGTCCAGGGCACTGTGCAGTAGAAAGTAGTATCTGAAGTAGGTCTTACAAATTATTGCCAGAATGAGTTTCATCTTATGATTATAATATTTTTTTGTTAGTGGTGTTTTATAAAAATGTCTCATTATTTCCCTTTCCTTTTCTTTTTCCAGCCTGCAAACCTGCAGAAGGCATGGCTACGGGAGTTCTATCAGGTAAGCACATGTTCTGTTTTTCCTAATGCCTTATAAGGCACCTGTAGGAAAACGGCCAGTGAATACAGCAATGGAAGGAGCCCCTGAGTTACTGCCCAGTAGCCTGAGCTGATCCCAGTGAAGTTGAAATTTCTCTTTGGCTGTGATGCAAGTTTCCACCGCTGACTCTTATGACATCACTGCTCTCTGCTCCAGGTGGTCTCAGTAGCTGAGAGAAATAGCTAGAGGGTGTAGAAGAGAGAGTTGTTTTTGGGGGGTTAGGTTGTGTACAGCAGAAATGACGTTTGGGTGAAAACTTCCTTAAAATCAGCAGTATGCCTAAGTGTGCCTAATGCCTGATCTTACAGAAAGGTCTGCTTGGATCTGTTTCAGATTCTTTGTTCAGACATGAGTGCTGTTTGCACTTTGCATATCATGTTATAAACACACACCACACACACACACACGTACGTATCTTACCTTTGATCTGGTAGCAAGCGTCTGAGAAACCACAGCTTTTTCCACTGGCTGCTGGGGGAAGTTGGTTGCAAAAGAGAATTGTATGTGTGTGTGTGTGTGTGTGTGTGTGTGTGTGTGTGTGTGTGTGTGTGTGAACATGACAGGACGGCCTGATTACAATGCAGATTGTGAAAAGGACAAAAATGTTGAATTGAAGGAGCTTTTTAAAAGACCTTTTGATGTACAAGCATTAGGAGTTTTTATAGAATGTGTAGGGTTATTTATTAAAATAATTATAGAAAGCAGGAGAAAGAATACAGGAGTGTAAGGGAGAGGTGTGTGTGTGTGTGTGTGTGTGTGTGTGTGTGTGTGTGTGTGTGTGTGTGTGTGTGTTGACGTGTTTGTGTACACACATCTACGTCTGTGTGTATGTGTGTGAGTTTAAAGGAGCAGTGCAGCAGTCTTGAGCAGCACAGTACCCAGAGCAGGACAGCACCTCAAGCAGGGCATGAGGAAAATGAGTCTTCAGTCTGAAAGCATTGTAGCCTACATAATGTCTCCTCCCCTTTTTGACCCCTTCCTGGTAGCACAACACTATGACTGACATAAAGTGCATTAGCGGCATATTAGCTGATATGTCAGCTGAAATATTGTCAGCTGAGTGGCAGCACTTCTGTCTGATGGATCTTCACTTTGTTTCACAGCTGGATTAAACTGTCTTTTAATAAGCTTGGGTAATTTGACAAATAGTATTGTCACAATGTCATCAGCCTGACAGTGATATTATTCTTGCATTAAGACGATGATCCACAACCTTGCCGATTTATTGCATGTTAATGGTGTGAAAGATCCTGCCCATAAATTAAAATGGAAGGAGAACGCAAACATGATCACGTGATACACTGCAAAGGGAATGAATAGTTTTCACACAGTGGGGAAAATTTCTTAACAAAATATTAAATCTGCTTGGAAGAAAGTGGGCACTGCAGAAACTACTCAGCGCCACCATGTGGCCAAATTTTATATGCTGGTTTTTAAAACAAATAAATTAAGCCAATAGGCTAGCTGTTTTTTTAATGAGCATCTTATGTTTTTGAATATAATCAATATTGTCAACTTTTGGGGTATTTCAAAAAGCCCTACTGTACATTTTGAAAAATGAATATAACCCATCCCCATCTAAGGAAAAAATGTAGAATTTTTCTCCTTGGCAAAGTAGGACCGCACATGGCTCTGTGTTTAGACTGTAGTTAGTCTACTGTGAAACTATATAGATATACTCTAATACTCAGAAAGTAGGTTTTATTTATAAAGCACAGTCCTGAACACTCTTCTCAGTTCCTGGTTCATCTTTTCAGACATTTTTAGACTTTATACACTGATGCCAAAAGCTCTGAAGTCACTTGACATTAGGGCTGGGCGATAAAACGATTACGATAATTATTGCGATATAACTTTTCCTCGATACAGCGATACGACATGTTCGATAAATGTTCGATATAATACACCATTCTCACACTTCCACGATCAGCGAAAGCCTTGGTGGCGTTTTCTACTGCAAGGAAAGCGACACTACTGTGCTGTCGCCAGGAGAGGGCGCACTTCCGAGTTTTTCTACATGATTAGAGAGGGAGGGGGCCACGAGTAAGATGAGTCTTTAGCAACGGCTGAAACGTGGAGTTATACATTGCCTGTTTGAGTGGAGCGACAGGCGATCTGTTCTCCTGTGACCGAGTGTGAGTGACGAGGTCAGTGGTGTAACTGTACTGTCCTACAGCGAACTCACCTCTTTCTGTACATCCTAACCAGCTTTAGCAGTGTTAAATCACAATCCTCACAACTACAGCGCTGTTACAGTACTCGGATAGTCATATTTAAGTATGAGTGCATTCCCAAGCAACGAAAGTGAAAGAAAGAAGTGGGTTCATGCAGTTACGGCCCTGATGTAAACAAAAGTAAACTGAGGAAGCTGTGAGGCATTGGAAAGCGGGAGAGCGCTAGCTTTCCAGGCTAGCTGTTTTTAGAAGCTTTTCTTAAAGCAGCGCTTCATCACTGCACAACACGGCGAATTAATGATACTGTAGATCAAACACGACACAAAAGCACCGCTTTCAGTTTAAACGTACCTAAAAGGAGGACTCTGTTTGTCTGGTGTTGATATTTTGCGGTTCACCCCTTAAACTACTACAATTGAATATCCAGTCGTCGCTGGCTGGTGTCTGAATACTGTGATGTCATTTGTAGCGGGGTAGCCAAGCGCTCGTCACCAGCTAAAAATAATCTGTTTTCTTTCTTAAATTATGACTATTACAAAATAGCCATGCTTTTCCAACTGGTAAAAACAGCTCACCAGACACTCTCTCCCACTCTCCCATGACAGATTTGTGAAATGTTCCACTGTTTAGTGAGTGTTTGTCGTGTTCCGACCATAAAGGATAGTTTAAAACAGCAATTAACCACCCAGGAGCAAAAATCAGCCTTCAAACTTGAAAGAAATAATGATTTGACATTTATCGCAATATGTATCGATATCGAACAATATAAATTTTGTTTATCGTGATAACATTTTTGGCCATATCGCCCAGCTCTACTTGACATATTAATAATTTTTGTTTTACGTACAATAATAGCTTACCCCGACATACAAGTTAGAGACCAGAAGGTATTTAAGATGTTTTATTCAATATTTTAAGTATTTTAGGGAGAACAGTTAATGATAAAAAATATGGAGTTTGTGTTTTTTTTTTTACTTTTTAATTCCATAGCATTCCACATATTATTGTGTTATAACTTCATTCTTGAATTTTCAGAATAATCGGTTGTTTATTTATTTATTTATTTATTTATCTTCTCTCGCTAACTTCCTACTACTTGTAAAGTTGTACACAATCGGCACATAATAGTTATTTTACTTTTTTAATTATTATTTTTACTTTTTTTGTTTTGCAGCCAGATTGGTTTTATGTTTTTGAAAACATATACTGTGAACTTTTGAATGATGCTTCCAGATTTCTAAAGGGTAGTGCATATTTTATTTATTTTTTTAAATATAAAAATATGTAGCTCATGCCTCTTTAGCTAGGCTGAGCTGTTGACGGTCCTATGCTTGCTAGTGCAGAGCTTCTCTTACTAAATGCTTAGTTCAGTAATGTTCTGGATGAATTCAGCAAAACAATGTATTTGCATATTATGAAAGGCCGCAGTTTTACAGCCGGTAACCACAGTCCCCACATTATTTACATGTCAAACACAGGAGCAAATTTGTTGTCATTCTATGTAAACTTTCATTTTTGCACTTAAAACCGATTGACAGTCACAAAGAACAAGTATGTCATTAGTTGTATTAAATTTGTTATGCCTATACATTTTAAAAGAAGTTATACATATGTATGTATATATATATATATATATATATATATATATATATATATATATACATACATACATACACATACACACACATACTTGGGACAGTACACTGGCTTAAAGCAAGCGGAGGGAAGGTGGGATATTGTGGTTGTGTGTGTGTGTGTGTGTGTGTGTGGTGTGTGTGTATATATATATATATATATATATATATATATATAGATATATATATATATATATATATAGTATGTGTCTATGTGTATATATGTGTGTGTGTGACAAAGAAGAAAAAATGTCTATCAATTAATATGACATGCAGTCTCCTCCCTTCACTCATTCCACTTCCAGCTCTTGTCTTTTGACCTCTTGTTTTATACTATACTGCAGTACTGTGATTCCTAATGTAAATATTACAGTTATAAGTGTCACTACTTGTACAGTACTGTGTGTCTGCAGATACTGACCTTCTGCCTTTTGATTTCTTCAGCTTAATGGTTTAGACTCATTAGTGAAAATATCTCTACAGTCTTGTCTTGTGTACTGTTCCACTCCAGAAATGGCTGCCTAATGTGTGGGGAAACCATGAACTGGTTTTGTTTTAATCATGCCATTATTCTTTTCATTTTCTGGAATGCACTGTATAGGTAAAAGCTATCTGCTTCACAATCAGAGAAAATCAGAAAGAGATTGAAACGTGAGGGAGAGAGATTGAGGCAGAAAGAGACTTTCTTGGAATTATTGCAGCTGCTGTTTAATTGAGCTAAGAGATTAGAGGTAGCCTGCATTTCCTTATCTCTCTGCTTGCCATCTGCTGCTGACCTGTCCTCTTTGTGAGTTTGCATGCACATTCTTGTGTTCGTTGTGTCTGAGTCTGATCTTCTGAAGCCCTTTGTCTTAAAGGATGTGAAATTACAGCCATTCTCGAGCTAACACACATGGTCACATTTAAACAAAGTGAGTTATAGAGAGGCAAAGAATGGGGGACACAGGTTAAGGGTGCAGTTAGGTTTCATCACAACAAATTTAGCTGTGTGGTCAGTCAAGTTTAGACAATATGAAAACACCATTGGTTTACTTTGGTTTCTTTTGGTGTCCTTGTGTGTCCGCACTGTGTGAGTTTGTGTGTGGTCAGGGGCGAAGCAGTTCATATATTAAAATAAGTTTTAATATACCACAGCTGGCATAGCAGTGTTCGT